CTGATAGGCTGAGATATTGCACTTGTGAGTTGAAAATCTACCGAAGGGATTATCAAAAGACCCTTCAAATTGACATCGCAGCAAGTCAGTCAAATTAGAACCCCACTTGAGAATGTTGGTTTGAGCATTTGACCCAATCAATCTTATGTCGTAGATATGCAGTGGTTTGCTTGCACTATCTAACAAGCTCGCTAGTTAACAAGCCGAGAACAGAAACAAGACAGGTGGCAGCGGAGTAACCTTTTCGAGTTCGACAAGCCAAGTGTGTCCTTAATTGAGGATGTGTGAGTGAGCCTATAAAGCGATTGACAGTAACCAATGGAAAGTAGTGGTGAGTCATTGACACAAGATCAGCCCATGGACAAGCCTTACTAACAAGTACTACCCCGAGTGCTGGCAAAGACACGTACCAAATCAACAAAGCAGACTAGGGGTCTCGGGGGTCTGCAAAAACCAGAGGTAGTGGAATTTGGGAATGAGGGTGAGTGAGGGGTAAGTTCGTCCTCGCTTGGGTATGAGGAAGGAACATTGCTGTCATCTACGTAAGCAATATTAGGACTATCTATTCTCACAGTATTCTGCGATCGTTTCCTATCACAAGAGAACTATTTGTCTGTGCGCCGCACATTCTTAAATAGGCCACAGTAAGGTGGTTGTAAGGGTTTCTTAATGTCATTGACGTGGACAACGACATAGGGGGATGAAGAAGAATTCGGTTGAATAAGTGCCTGTCCTGGCGACACTTGATGAGGTGAGTCGAGATCCTTCATGAAACTCTTCAACTGATTAACGTCCAATGAAGCGATTTTGGTATTTTTTCAGAAGTTGTGACCAGTTTACTAGGCAGACGATGAGTTGTACTAAGACAAGCTCTGTTGGAGTCAAGTTATTGTTGATGGCCAACAAAATGAAAAGTATTGTTTCAGATCAGTTAATAAATGCAGCTTTTGCAATAATAGCTTATTTCAATTGACAGTGAAAATGTTCAACCAAGACATTGGATTTCGAGTGATATGCCGTAGCACGAAAAGTTCTACATCCAGAGAGCTTTAAGTCGTGAAACGAACAAGATGTGCATTGGGCATCGCGATGAGAATAGAAATAGGGCTACAGAATGTCGATACTGATGATTTCATAAACACGCGGACAACAATTTTGGTTGCCCCACCTTTAGTGGAAATTGCTAAAGGCCAGTTAATGAAACGGACTAAAAAGTTGAGGACATAGGCAACTCCACAAGACGGCGAAAATAGCCTGATTAGTTCAAGGTGTGTACGTCGGAAATGCGTGTCTGGAAGGGGAGAATGTCCTGGTTGTGATTTACTGTGCCAGTGGACTTTGTTGCGCTGACATTGTATGAAGTGTTTGGCCCATAAACCGACATATTTGTGAATGCTAGGGTAAACAGAACGGTCTGTTTTAAGCGCACAATAACACGAATACCTCGGTGTGAAGATACTCAAATACTTGCTTCCTAAACTGAGCAGGACTTTACGGTTGACGTCTATTCGTTGACATATCCTACAGGATCTTCGTGGAACAGTGAAGGAATGGTAAGCCTTCTAGATTTAAACTAGAATTTTGACAAATTTGTTGTAATTACAGGTCATTAGTCTGAGCTGAAATTGGCAATTCAAAATCGATACCAGGAACTGAAAAGTTACGAATATTTGATAGGGAAGGCGCACCGGCAACAACGTGATCAGTTTCATCAACGAGGCGAATAGGGGTTGTGAATTGTCAAACGGTCAAGATTTCTGAATTAGCGTAGGGCAAGTATGAGTCTCTAATTTGGTAATTAAAATAAGCTCTTGACTTTAAGACTGATGAACTCATGAGCTGTTGTTACATATATTGGTTTAGTAAGGTACAAAAGTTCAATTATCAATATACCTCACTCATCAGGCATGCCGGAATTGCACCCGCCCACATTGTCATTTTCATCATGAAATTCAGTGGAATGAAGATTTTGAAACAACTTAAGCGTGAATGCAGATTTTCCTAAAGATTACTTTGATGGAACGTATTGTAAAATTAATTGGATGAGCAAACTCTAGGGAGAGCTTCCAAGATGAATTTTAAAAGTTTAAAAAGCCTACATCATTCGTTGTAATATATCCAACTAGAGACTTTTTTCGCAATGTGAATATAATCACGGTGTAGTCTGTTCGATAATAATTAACTTAAATTGACCTTAAATAAAATTAATGACATTTGATAAAATGGACACCCGGAATTTGTACCTGGACAGAGGTAGATGTTTGTAAACAATTTTATAGGCATTTCTATTAAGCAATTAGATTCAGGTGTAAATTAGCATTGTAAATGTTTTCAGGTCAAACCATTTAACAAAAAATGGTGAGATAACATAGGTTGATACAGTAAACCGGCCAGAATTTCGCACACCGATATTTGATGTCTGGTGGATCAGAGCATCATGATAAATCTAAAATCAAATTAATGCTGTTGTAAGACCTGCGACTAAGAGGACAGCAGGCGCCATTGTCGTAGAATAGCGTCACTTTGCGCAGTCCAACTTGCGCGCGTTAAAGCGGCGAACTGCCATTTCGCACTGGTCGATAAACAGGCATTTTACCGAGCTCATGCGCAACCGATGCTAAGGGTCACGAATTACTAGACATCTGATTGGACAAATTTAGCATCACATAGAAGTATTCACTGGATAGCACTGGCTACTTGGGGCAATGAGGTGGAATTGTGAAAAATGTTTAATATTAGTGCAAGGAAGAGGGTTTGTATATTTTAATTAGCATCATGCACTTTGTACTCTTAAAATGCAAGATAAATCCCGAGTAGGTGCTACTGATTTAAGTTTTCTAAATTGCCGAAAAAGTCAGCTGAACGACAGAAAACTTTGTCGAGTAAATGATTTTCAGAGGCAATCGACACCAAATCAATGAAAGCAAAATCGTTGTTACGAAGATTTTTGGAAATGTGTATCTAATTTGTTCACATAGTTGGCGCCTGAATTAATCTACTATCCAATGTAATGCTGTGTGGTTCCTAAATAACAGCCAAATTAACAGTGATTAGTGTTTCGCCGGAAAATTCAAAACCGTACACTTTGAAGCGAATTTAAACGATTAAGATAAAATCAAGGATTAACAACAAGCGTGATGGCGTTGCGAAAGTTAAGGCTCATAAGCTGGACTCCAACCGTGCGCAAATATCAAGCAAGTATTGGTAAGGAATAATGGATTTGATGCGTTCGTAGGTTAAATACAAATATAAGCAAAACAATTTGGCGCGTACGCCTCAATTTCGTTTTTTTCAGATTTGTTTCCAAACTCCAACATGTTACTGACATGTTCACCTCAATTCGTTAACAACAGAGTCAGAAGTTGAAACACTTCGGTTACAAGTCAAATTATTACGAACGTATGAACCAGAATTCAGAGGTTTGATTTCATACACAGATTAATAGATTTTCATTTACTGAAGTTAAGAAAAAAGACAACCATTTATATTAAGCCTTTGAACCAAATGTTCCAAGAAATTTAAGACAAATAGACAATCCATGAGTTAGATTGGTAGTGAGCAGTATTGAATGTAGTCGTTTACTCTAAAACAAACATCGTGAACTTAATTTACAGAAAAAAAATTACGTGCTGCCTTTAGGCGAATTTCAAACAATAGGCGTTAGGGACCACGTCATCCGCAAATTGATTAACAAAACCAGACATCAGTTGGGTGGGAAAAGTCAGATTTTACATACACATAATGTGGTATTCAGTGAAATTATTACCAATGAATGTTTACTACCATCTTAAAAAAACAGAAAAACCTAAATTCTAAGCTAATAGCTTCTTGAGAATGTCATCCTTAAAAATGTTATTGTTGTCCTACATCAATGCACAAGGAGGATTATAAAAACTAATATTTAGATTACTTTTTCTTCATCATCTTCAATGGTTATTCTTATAAATGTCATGTTTCTCAAAAAAAGGAATCAAAGAGCATGTTTGCTGTAGAAACACCGGATATTTAAAAAGCCTTCGTGACTACAAACTAAAAGATTTACTTGAGAATTATCGGTCTCTATTTCTGCCAAGGTGGCAAGTTTTAATATTATTTTAACCACATTTGGTTAAGTAATAAACTTTAAATACAAATAAATATCAGAAGGTAAATCGAACGTTTGAAAATAAAATATTTACGATCAAGCAAAATTACAACTTACTTTAAACTCTCCCGTTTGGGCATCGAAAACGACGTGGAGTTCATGGCAGACATTGGTGGGGAACGAAATCTTTGGGTCCATTGGGGTTCGCGAAAGCCGAAAGAGTTTTACTAAGTTTCAAAAAGATTTAATGCTTAAATAAGTCTAAATGATGGGAATATGCTGCTATATTTTTCCAAATGCTGTGCCAATGCTCGAAGGATGTGGTCAAATGAGTAAACCATGTAAATCGAATCAAAACATCTTACGTTTATGTTGATCCCTGCAAGGTTAGTACTATATTTCTTACAAAACTAAGGCCAAATACGACATACTGTGTTAAATTGTGCAAGGAAATATTACGAAAGTGGAGGTTTTCATATACGTAACTTCCAAAATCTGCGAATTTTGACGAATTCAAAGACGGTTGTGCGCGCACGCAAAATCATACTTAAATTGACAATAAAGGCATAATGAAAGGTTAAACAAAACTAAATAGTTAAAATAAATGGAGTTGTGGAAATCATTAATGACTAAAACGAATTATAGACATGGAAACCAGCCTTAGCAACCTTAACCCTAATTGGTTTTGCAAAAAACCATTAAGATAATTAAATACACAATTTTAGAAAGCAATACACTTTAAAAAATACTCACCGACTTTCTTGGATGGCTTCCTCGGTGGCAATGGAAGAGGCTTAAGTGGTGGACCTACAGTAACGCACCGTTTGCTATAGAAAAAAAGATTTTGTACCACAGAACATGGACATATTTTAAAGAGCAATATTGGACAAAACCTACACTGTGCTTGAAGATCGCAATGGTGGGGCGGGTGGAAAGGAATTTGTCTGTGCGTCCCAGTTACTATCCTCTTGGTAATCTTTAGCTTTTTCATTGTTTTGATTATCATTTAGGAACATAATTCGTTAGTATATACCCACTTGCATTATTTCGGCAAATAACATGACCACTAACTTCATGACATTTGTATGGGCCCAAGGTCACAGGTAGTTTTAAGAATGGCTTCTATAGCTAAATAAAACGATCCTTTTGCAGAGATTGCACAAAAGCATACATGGTAAAGTAAAGTAAGGTCAACGACACATTAAACTAATCCATTTTATCACATAAAACGGAGCTAAAGTGTATGATCAAACCTCGTTTGTTTGTTTGGAATTTCGCCATAGATGATGACGAAATCACAGCAAAATATAACTGTAATTGGGAATGTATAAATATGTTTGTCCTTTGCGAAATGCATAATGTTTATACCAGTCAAAATAATTCGAAATAAAATATTTATCTACACAAATAGCGGTTATGCCTTCTCGCTTTACGTATTAAATTAAACACTTTACGGATGTGTCCATTAATATCAGTGTTTATTAACAAATTACATAAAAAGGGAACTAAAGTAATATGAATGTTTATTTAAGTTCGTATTTGATGAGTTTCCTACATTTAAAAACTCGCATTTGCATTGACTTTGAAAACTCGGTATTACAATGGACACCCATTCACATATCTTTTAATCGGAATGCCTTTTTTTTCATTTGGAATAAAGAATTCAATAAACTGCAAAATAAAGGCTGGAATAGTTTGTGCTGACTAAATTGTGGACTATATATAATGCTTGCTATTTTTCGTGATGCCCGATTCTTTTAGCAATCTGCCAGCATATTCTTACATGTTTTTTGCAAGTTTTTTTAAAAAGTATAAACAAGCAACCATCACAAACGAAAGAATTTGAATAGTTTGATTAAAAGTGAACTTTAGACTGTATTCTGGCATTGCCGATGCAAATTTTTGCATTTTCGGGCATTATTAAACGTTTTTTGCTTTGGTGTCCTACACAACCACACAAAAACTTGAGAAATTTTACAAATTTTTGTTTTTCACTGTACTCTTTTTTATTGGTGAGGAAGGTGTTCTTGATCTTATTGGATCAACTGTGTAGTCACTTCGCCTCATTGTTCAGCATAGACTTCCTCGATAATTTATTAGCGAGACCGGGATGGGTAGAAATGGCACTAGTTAAACCTAGTTCTACTGACAATTACACCCTGCCAGAGAATAGTTTTTCAGAATATTTAATAAAAGAAAAGTATTTTTTGACAGCCTTGGAATTTCATTACGAGCAACTCGAACGGGGAATTAAATGTGATTTACTGGAAGAATTTTTCTCTAATCCAGATAATTTTGAGCACATCGACTTGCCTCAGCCTGGCCTTGCCCCAAACTGTAAGAAACTGTTACCTTTTTTATTTTAGTCTCCTGTGTCAGTGTGTCAACTTTGGATTCCCCTGACCTTCAAACTGTTAGTGAAGACCAAAATTCTCTTGAAGAGCAGTTTAAGGGTAAAATGAATGTAATTTCTGACGATTCAGTACTTGAATTTGAACTGAGGAAGAAGAATGAGGAAATTAAAAGTTTACGAGAGCTACTTACTAGCGCTACTTTGGGGGGTAAGCTTGGATCTCAAACAATCAGGAAGTGTTGTTAAATTGACTCGGATATTACTTTGATCTATAATATCAAGTCTGGGCTTTTAACTTTTTTTAAATTTCTATACATAGCACCGAATGTTACTGAGTCGTTGGACTCAATTACACCTACGCCTTCAGACTATCGTCTTTCCAAGGCTGTTAGTCAGATGTCAAATATCGAGGCGCGCGCCCTCCATTTCCTCATAAACGAATATCTTTTAAGTAGTGGCTACAAGCTAACAGCCGTCCAGTTCTCCGAAGAATGTGAAGCTCTCGAACAACAAGACCTTGACGACTGGGATGATGTACGACTACTTAATTCATTAATATGTGCAGTTGCTTCGTGTGCAACTTATTTGCTTATTTGTTTTATTTGTTACTGCCACTAGGCATCCTTTAAAAGCAAATTAACCAAAATGCTGTCTAAATTATTGAAATAGATGCATTCCTATTAACGGCGATGCAAAACACCAGTTTATCCCATCGTTTTTCGTACCACAAGGCGCCACAGATTCAGCCTAATAAAATACTGTAGTAAATGATGTCGATGATTTATTACCTGTTCAAATAGTATATATTTCTATAATCTCTCGGATCTTGCATAAATATAAGTTGATTGTCTTAAGAAAGCTAGTGAATGAGTGAGTTTTTATCGGTAGTAATGATTTGACTGTAATACTATAGCAAATACCGTCATGGTAAGTGCTGATTTTCTTGCAAGCGCATTTGGACTACTAATTTTTAGGCATAGTTTTTACATACAACGGTATTGTATAGCTGTGTAGTGGACCAATGCTGTATTTTTAATTCAAATCAAGTATTTTACAGAGTTCATAGACATCATCCTAGGAACACCAGTCCTTTTGTTTAAAAATCCATTTAAAAGTGGCCTTTTGGCGTTATTTTATGAAAATCTTTTTAAACAGCTTAATTACTTACAATTATAACAATGTTTTAAACGCATGACTGTAAAATGACTTTATTTCTTTGCAATCTCTTCTCAAAATTTTGATGTGCTCCTTTGTTAAAAATTTTAATAGTGTCAATAGAAACTGTTATTACCCATTAATTTCCTAGTGTTTTCTAAATACATGAATTTTTTGTAGTTAGTTAAAATTACGATGTACGGAGTCATACAGTAGTTTTTCAAAAATAGTTCCTTGAATAGGAATCTGTGATAGTGTGACGAGTTTTAACGGTTTCGTTTATTGTTGTAATTAATTTTATGGTGATCTTTTCAGGTTGGTCTTACCTGCGACCGCCCACCAAGCCTCCCTTCTCTCCTAAAAGCGTCCTGGTTGCCTCAGTCCTCAGGCCTTCCTTCTAGACCAATGCTGAAGCTCGTTCCTCAGCTCAGGGCTAAAGGAGCTTCTCTCAGCAATCATCAAGCTATAGACGAAGAGGCTGTTCAAACGGAAGCAGTAGCAAGTGTACTGAGAGAAGATTTAGAAAGCAGTAGAACAGCAATCAGCATTCTTCAATGCAATTACGATGCTACAAAGGCTGAACTGGAAGTTTCAGTAACGCGCTTCTTGATATTCGTTTTTAAAATACTGTCCTTAAACAATAAGCGCACTCAATATCTTGACACGTGTTCTGGTCTTTCATGTCACTTTAATGGCCTATTCTTTTTCATGAGAAGAAATCGTTCTGACATTGGTTCTAAGTTCGCTTTTTTTCTGGCATATTTTGAGTGCTATCACGGATTTGCCTGTTCGATGCAGTCACTAAATTCTACCTCATTTTGTAGTAAAAAAAGGAATGTGCAAAACACTATTCAAAACAGTTAAAAGGCATCAGGGAATGAATTTTACAAAACTAAAGCATCTGTAACTTTCACTTTTTTTTCATATAAATAAGAATAAGCCGTTGGGTGTTATGAAAGCGATAGAGGCGCGCTTTCTGTGGCTTACAATATGGTAGTTGAATAGTTGGTCACGCACTCTTGATTTGTTTTTAATGGCTTAGAATATTTTCGGTTGCAGCGTCAGCATGTTGCAGATCTGCGTGGAAAAGTGACTCGTCTTGAGTCAGAAAACCTCAGTCTCTCACAGGAGTCAACGTATTGGAGGAATCAAATTCTTTGCCTTAAGAGGTACCTTTGTTTTCCCTTAGATACTTTAATTTATGCTGTATGAATATCCTATCAACTTGAGCACTTCCATTTTACATAATAAATTTTAAGACACCCAGTCGTGTCCTATTTCGTCGTTAGTTTTGCATTATTTAGAACGCTATACACACTGGACGAATGTGAATACTCTTTATTTTTCTAATATCAACATATATTTTCAGCCTTTGGGTTAAAAAGATGCATTCTTGGTCTTTATTGGTTTGTATTGAGAAATGGTTGTTAATTAGATGAGATGTAATCGGGAATTTTCACCATTTTTGAGTTAATTTTTAGAGCCTTTGATTCGCACTTATGATATTTACACGGAAGGCACCAATAATTGCTAGAATTTGACAATTAACAAGAAGAAATGCATAAATGCATCTTTCAGGTACCGAGTCAGTTTTATCCATGGCGTCTTTGTCGTAATTTTCTTCATCTTTGCTTGAAAATGGCCTGTTATCTCAAGATTGAATCCTAAAAGTGCTTTCTGAATTAAGCTGTATACATTCTCAGGGCGTCTTCCTATTAAAATAATGAAAAATTATGAACTTTAACTGCGGTAATGTCATTTTTTGAATACAGTGCTGAATTAAATTTTTTGCACAATCGCTCTTGGTTTTCCCTTTTTAGGGACTTCCCCGACTTGGTAGGAACCGCAGTAAAGAAGACAAACAGAAATTCTGCCTTAAATGGTACCGCAAACCGAAATACCATTGATTCACATGAGGCAACTCTTGACCTTGGGTCGGCGGGTAAGGCGGTCGAAAACGGTCAGTCACAAGGCATTCCGCCTTCACCATCCCCATTGCCATCGCCACCACCACCACCACAACCAGACCATCCACTTCCTGAGGTGGTGGTTGAGGTTCCGAAATTATCGATCAACGAACCCATGTTTAGAAGGTCAGGAAAAATTCCACTTTTAATGTTTTTTGTCACTGCTAGTATCCGTCTGTAATTTTACCCAATATTTTCAAATCTCAATTTATGAGATGTAAAGCGCGTGCCGCTAATGGGGTGTTGCAACGATAAATTTTTATCACAACTAGATAATTGTATCTGTCGCAAAATGAGCTATAAATTGTTCGTGTCATTCGATGTCCAGGAAGCCGTCGACGACTTGGTCCGTGTTCTTTTTCCCTTAGAGAATGAAGTTATGTTGACCTGTGGATGCCGGATTTCCATGCGAACCCTTTGATTTGAATGCCCACCGCTCTTTTATTGCCACCGAAAACTATACTTAAACAAAGTCAACCCTTGACTCTTAAACAAATTTGGTATCTACGCTCTGATTCCTTATTGCGGTATTGTTCATGGTCTCACCAAAATGCTATTATCAATGAATATGAATCTACTTTTGCAATTGTTTTTTGTTGGTCCAGGACTTCGTGACAACAATTCCGTTTTTTTGTAATTTTACCTGACCTTGAATTGACGTTACGAAAGTTTCCGGTACAGCAATGATCATTTTGTTTTACGATTCATCTAGTTCAAAATAGCTGTCACTTCACATTTCCTAAATTTACTTAAATCCAAGGCATTTTTGGCGGATCCAATACAATTTAAAACCATCCTGCATGAGTTACGGCTTAGTTGTTGCAGCTACATTGTGCCTGTGGTTCTCGTACTTGCTGTGGTTGGGTAATGACTGTAAACCTTTCAAGCCTGAAGTGTGTTCTTAAACTTACTTTTGTGTTGCAGGCAGAGTCATCCAGAATTTGTGCGCTGCGCATCCGAGCTTTTACCGCCAGCGGTAATCGATGAATTTCCATTCGAAGCATTTCGGCTGGCTGACACTCTAGATGAATTAATCGTCACTGTCGGCGACCTGATTCAGGGCATATTAAAACATTTGCCGGACGAAATGAAATCGGTAAGTTTCGAACCCAGTACGACCAGTTGTGTTCAATTCTTTAATTTGATAATGAATCAGTAAAGGAGGGCTTTAAACTTGCCAGTAGTTATTCCAGAACAAAGTAATAATATGCAAGCAGGTAGCATGCTTTGATGGTCACCTAGTTCTTTGGACTTTGTTACTCAAATACTCAGTTTAATGTGCTGGTATGCATTTTACCTATGAGACTCTCTGCCTGTACATCCGCCTGTCAACGGTGGCTAAATTTGTAGCACGAATCTCACTGCATAGTTCTGTGACCGTGTTAGAGACATATCTTGTTAAAGAAGTTTGACCAACTCATCATCGGCTGAATGTGTACACTGACGACTTTAGTTTATGCAGTATTGTTAAGTTGCAATTACTTTGCCAATTTTATTTCCTTAACGCGTTTTCCGTGCCCATCACCTTTTTAACCAGTTAACCGCCTTATATATTAACTCTTAATCAAAGCCGTAATAGTATGTTGTAGGATGTGCTCAATCGCAGTTAAGTAAAGTGCTAATATGAAGGCCCAGAACTCTACGCTGCCATCCCAAATTGGACCCATGCTAGTCGTAGCGATTGCTAAGGTTCCTTGAAATTCGTTGTACTTAGTAAATAAAAATCAAATATCGATTAAATTTTGGATTAGTTGTGTTCATTTGTATTTTCCCTTTCTCCAAAAGCGTTTGACTTGGCAACCACACAGTTGTGTTCGATCAATTTACTACGGGTTTGTAGGATTAAAATTACTTTTGCAGAATGTATAGGACAAAAATCTGTTGCCTTTTTTTTTGAAGCTTTATTTTGAGATCGTCTGCTTTCCACTCGAAAGCATTTCATATTTAAAAGCATGTCCTCAAAGATGGATCGAGAGTTGCCCATTCGAGATCAACATTCTTAAAATGGCCTTTTAGTGGTTAATTTATTTCCCAATTAATGCGGTCTGGCCAGTTTGAGTTTCAGAGGCCTATGACACAAAATGCACTTTTTTCATCCAGCCCGTGGAAATCGTTCCCATTTGTTGAGATCACATAATACTGGTACATTACTTGTGAAGTTTTGCCATTTGTTTGTGCCCAAGTTCCTGTGGATACATTTAAGATGGAGTCTTGAAATTGAGTTGGGACAAAGTACAAACCGAATCAGCTATTTATTTGCTATAAGGCTAATATACTTTATGATAAAAATGAAAAACGCTAGGACATTCCTCGAATAATATCATTAATTGATAACCTGTAATTACCTTTCGTCTAGTTAGGCTTGAAATCGTCAATTAATTCTTAGTTATATAGGAGTCCTGACCGCTAAGTGATGTTAACAGAAATGAGATTTATATTGCTCACTATGTGTGAGTTGTGTAAGCATATTATGGAGTTCCTACCTGCTGCTAATTTCGATCGATGTATGGATGCCATTTTTGACGTATGCAACGAATTAAACGATGTGGTTGGTCATTCGCCAGACGGAAAACACGTTTCTGATTTATGATTGCTGACGTCGCCATTACACAGCCTATTAGAGGTGACCTACGTCTATACAAATAACTAAGCTATCAAGACTTTAAAATTCGTGCATCTATTTGATTTCCTTTATGACACAGCGATGACAGAAAATAACTCCTTGGTGGGGTTTCGGTTTTGTGTTCCTAAACGCATTTTTATCGAGCGAGTAAATTTCCCAGCTATGAAAATGGTTTTGCGTAGATTTTTGAGTAGATGACACCCTTTCTATTTTTTGGCTGAAATTTGCTCGAATTTACAGTTTTATTGTGTTTCTTCTGACGTGTACCCACATAAACCGAGGCAAGTCTCCTTTCATTGTGTATCAGGCTGCCTTTTGGGTGGTGGAATGCAATAAAATCTACTTTCTTACATTTCTTCATTTACATCGTCTTCGTGGAGTCGTGGCACTTCAAAAGGCCTTAGATAATGTGGCCTCAACATTACTAAAAGGTTGCGCGGTCCTCCTTGCCAGTAGGTATCAGGAACCTTTTAAAAACTGTGCTACTTCACGGCGATTAACGTTGTTTCTCTCTTTTAAAAGACAAAATTGGGGAATTGACGCAGTCGTTTTGGTGCACGTTAAAGAATCTTTGGCGAAATCAAGCACCAGTTAACTTTACTTTCTATAGTTTAATTTCGAAAGGTATCATCAAAGTAGCGTCCGATATTTGAATAAATTCATCTTTTTTCTTAGTCCCTTTTTTCGTAAATTCACTCAGATTAACAAAACATGCCTTAGGTGGCATTATTCTTCTTGTCCCACCATTTACTTTAAGATATGAAATGTGACCGACTTTTTGAAGAAATGCAATTTTTTTTAAATGCATTAGCTTTCAACTAATAGGTTCATTTTGTTGCAAAATTCACGACAGGTGTTTTCTTTCTTGTTATTCACTTTAACTGACCGATTTTATTTGGTTCTTCTCATAAATGTTCGTTCTTGTCGTGGCTATTTGCTGTTCCTTCCTGCACTTTTAGTTAGCCCTACCACTACTAATTCAAGCAATCTGCCTTCATCCGGACGCCGCTGTTCGCGATCAACTTCTTCGTGCACTGTTTAATCTGTTCACTGAATCCCCAGAGCCAGGCTCCAAGGAGGTAGAGGTGAAGCGAACTGACGTCATCCTTCCCCAGTGTCGTGATTTAGCAACTTGCTTAGGTACATGCCCTTTTTTTACTTTGGAGCCTGTTAGTTTAATTTATAATGTAAAACTTTTTTTCATTTAACTGAATAATGGAGCTTTATTTCGTGACCACCACTGCCAATCCCCTTCCCTGATTTTACCCGTAGGACAAGCATTCTGCAGTATCTATTTTGCCATTAAAGTAGATGGTTGTCATCACAAACCCTCATCAAAAACTGAAATGTTTGTAGATTGTAAGTCCAATACAGGATACATAGTACGCCCTTCATTGTCAAAGCAAACGCCTGGTCGTCATAGTATTTGCGTGCGTTCACTTTTTCAAAAGTAGAGTAATGTGTTTAAAATCATCGATTTATTATTGTGGGTTTACTGTTTTCATCATAAAAAGCACTAAAATTTAATTGCTATTGCAAGCTCAATTATGCTAAGTCAGAAATGTGTTCAGATTCTGGATAGGCCGTGATTTTTTGAAATAATAATGTGGCGCTTCCATGGTGGACCTCTTTCACATTCACTTGATTCACCAGTTGTCGACTGAAAATGACGACATCTTGGGATGATGTCATCGGTTGCTGATTGCTCAGTTGATTTTCTTGTCATCTTTCGTTAATAGATGTACGCAGGTAGTCTGCTCCATATTAATGTGAATAAGAATTCTAATGATCACACTGGCTTATAATAAAAATGTAAAACGAGAATTCGTTGGAGAGCTTGCTGTTTACTTGTTTGTGCTAAGCAAGTAGACTCAACCCAAGATTTAATTTGTGCTGTGATGCCTGTGATCTGGCGTGGCGTCAGTATCTGAACTGATCACAAAGCGTATTTCGTTTGCACTCATTTAAAAAGTGACCTTGCTAATACGACGGGTGCGTCTTGAGGAGCTTGCAGTCCCTCCTCGACAAACGTCTTTAAGATCCCGTGAAATAGATTTGCAATCCTATTGTCTTATCGTCAAAGATAGTGGATCTGGCCACGCTATCAATGTGTATATGTTAGCTACCAAAAGTTTCCTTTGTGGTACTACTTATTGAGGGTGCCGTGTTAAAGTAGGTTGCAGTCCTAAGCTTAGCATCCCGACCTTATTTTACGCTGTGATTCACTCCCATTTGATGAACGGAGACAAAACAAAATATCCTAAATTTTTATTAACAGTTAAATGATCTGCCCTTTTCAGCAATGGCTTGTCAGAAGACTTTTTCCCAAAAAATAAATAAACACACAAGCTTTGTGGTCCAAAATTACAAAAGTTTAATTGTACAAGCCCCTGTACAGAAATTCACGCCAATGAAGCGGAGCCCATTGAATCTCAAAAATTTTGCCTCTTCATAAGCGATGGCGTTGCTGACCCCTAGTTAAACGTTAAAATGTAACATTTAACTTAAATTAAGGTTGGTTGTTATAGCTTGGTTCCACGCAAAATTGTCCAGTCAAATTTGAAATCGTTTTCCATTTTTGTGAGTTAAGGACCTCAACGAATAGAAAGCGAACTTCTCCCCCAAATCTGGTCTCAGTTAAACGAAAGACCTTCGAGCTGTCTCAGAAAGCTTCTCAACTCGGCTTGTGGTGTCATAGCACCTGCAACTCCTGTAAGTATTTGCCTTATCCATCAACATCATCCAATTGCAGATAAATCAAACTTGGAGTCTTACCTAAAGCATGGGCCCTGAAATACACTTGAAGATGAGTTATCTTTTTTTCAATTGCTTCTGCAAAGGATAATTAACAAGCCATTCAGCCAATACTGTTATTGTGTATATCTCGACAAACTCTGTTCGTCCGAACCCGCTAGCCATTCGTTTCAATGCATAAAGCTTTGAGATATAATGCTTACACCCGCTTTTACTCAGTTCTTCGCATTTCCAAGGAATAATTTAGGCTGGAATTTCACATGAGGACATACGCTTATGTATCTTCATGTTGCGTCCAGTTTTGTCTGCCTCCACAATGTAATTACAATCCCGAATTGTTTGTACCTCTTATTTAGTCCCGACTGCGTTCCTCTCTACTCCTCTCCATTCTGCTTCAATCAATCGAGGAGGAGAAGGATGAACAGGTCAAGGCGGTAGCCCTCCGCTCCCTCGCCGCCGTAGTCGTGCTCATGGAGGACCGGGACAAACTCCCCCAGCTGGCCACCACATTCGAGCGGTCTCTTCGAGAGACTTGGGGCGATGCCACGACAACCCTGCCCTACCCCCAATTAGTCTATGAGCGCGTGCCTACTGTCCTGCCCATTGCGGCTTCCCTCACCGTAGCTGAGGCCTCATGCAACTGGCTGCTACCCACTGTGGCTGAGTGGTGTCTTGAAGTGGATTCTTTGAAGCCGTTGCTTTTGGATCCGTGGCTTGAGAAACTTAAGTCTCTGTGTTTTGTAAGTGTCGAATTGCTCGTAAGTCAAAAATGAAATGGGCTGCTAGAGCTGACAGAGGTTAATCTTTTTAGGAAAACCTCAGGTCATAACATGAGCTATAGCAATGGACCAGATACGATCATAATTATATTCATTCATTTACAAATTTAAGCAACTATATTTTGTTATGAATTCGCAACGACGTTCCGGCGTCTAGATGACAAGTCTTGCAATTAACTAACTTAAATTTACACTTTGAAAGTTGCTTCAACGGTGCTGCAGATGACAAGTGCTTAGCTATGTATAAATAGAAAAAAATATTGTGAGTAGGCTCAGCCCAATGTTGAATGTCAACGGGATTCTACGAATTTTGCAAGATTACGCCCGACGCGTATTGAGGATGACCACTGGCTAGGCTGCCAGTCGACTCGCTGGTGAATCGCCGTCGTTTCATAACGGCATTTGATCGGCATCTTGTTTGGTGTGGTTTTAATACCACACGAATAAAAAACTACCATACCATTAAGCACTTATGTTAGCTGGCATTTTTTAATTTTATTTTTTTCATTTAGCTTTTTTTCACTACCTGTCTGTCAGTATTCGCTGACCAATAAACTGCAAATTTTCTGAATTTCTCATTATCTCTTCGTCTTTATTTAATTGTTGCACTTGCCCCAATACTGTAGCATATTTGCATTATTAATTCTTACTTAATTCTTTAGGAAAATGAGATGTCAAAATCTAAATCGAACTGCAATGGGTCCTCGGAGAAGTCGATACGCTTGAAACTCCAATTTTCCACAAGTGAACTCTTTCGAATTATGACAGTTCTTAATCGCCTCGTGCCCTTTCTCTTTGCCTCTGTCCTCCAGAGCCTAGCATTTATCAAGCCCTACCGGACCTCCTTTGAGGATGACTGTGACGATCTGGTACTTGAGAATACTGATGCGCATGAAGAAGCAGTAAATGAGGCTGGCGAGAGGGATTTCCCTATTGGTAAGATTGTTATTGGCACCCCCAAACCGAGTGCAAATTTGCAAAATGTGCGTGGCATTTTGCACAGTTTAATAAATGTTCTTTTTTTCCTTCACTTCGTTTACAACTTTGTGCCTCATTAGTTCAATTCCCTGAAGCAATTATGGCAATCCTAAACTCTCTCCTTACTTTGAATTGAAATTATCGATATTACGTAGCAATGACTAAGGTTTTTAATATCCCGTACAAACCTGCTTTATTAATACTTAGATCATTGGGAGTATCTTTTCGTGCCGCAATGCATCTTGGGAAGGAAGCGTTACGAGGAGCTGGTCAAGTCGTTTGAGCACGTGCTTGTAGGCTCAATGAAATCGGTTTCAGACGGTGCAGTAGGTGAGGGCGATGATGTGGCTTCCGCTTTTAACGGGGCGTGCGAAGGTGAGTGGCCCGCGATGGACGACGTCCGACAGCACTTGCTCCTCCCCATCGCCGAGATGCTGCGTGCTATGAATCCCCACTCGAACTCCATTGACGAAGGCACCGAAGCCCATGAGTACCTTGAACAGGACCCCATTCTGCCTCAAGAGTTCCTCAGCCTAATGCAGGTACTCCCAGTCTTCATATTGCTCTTTTTTCACACCACAAGTAGGTGCTGGCTTGCATCAGTCATTTGCCGGCAAGACTTGCACATTACTATATTGCAGTCGATAATTTCTGCCAATCAAGTTCTCATTTTACGACATCTGTTTTTATAGACTCAATTTGATGATAATTTTTGGCTTCCGTGGCGTTTACGACCTGCGTCGTGTACGCTTACGCTCTGCAAGGAACTTTGCTTCTATGTCTCCCTTATTGGCAAAGCCTTCGGTACGGCTGCGGTCCAGAAGTACTTGTATGAACCATTTCACAGCCAGCTCATGGAGCGTAGTGTTCAGGGCTGTAAGTTTGTTGGATTAACCATATCAAAATGCTACTTATGTAAATGTAGTAGCATGTGCATTATGGAAAAATATCTTTCCAGATTTTGAATTCGACCTCAAGGCCCTTCCCTCAGGCGTATTTGCAGGTTACTGCTGTCTATTAGCGTCAACTAAATCAGTAAGTACTTTTAATTGGTTAATTTTGTCTATTATGAAATCTCTTTCTAAAGTAATGATTTTTAGAAATCGGAGCTAAACAAAGTGAAAATGCTAATAGCCAATGCAATATTTCTCCATTCCCGCGATTCCTGCTCTCTCCACGGCGTACGAGCCGCAATAATGGCTCTTTGGTATGTACAGTAGGTTTCCCAGCACTAACGGTATGTTAAATGGATTATCAGCCGTCGTGAAGGAAATTAAGAAATTGTGTTTGCACCAATCTATTTAGGTAATCTCTAGCTGCATGCACCAAGCTGTTTGACTGTAAATTCTGTTAATTTGTATTCTGAGTGTTTGACCTGAGCGGATGTTCCTGTGTATGGGTGTACGGCGTGGAGCGTGAGTCATTGGATGCTAAGATAAAAGATGAGCGGTAGTTGTTTGCATTCACGAGCCTGCCCGAGATAAACATTGGAGTTCACCTGGGTGAGCACATAATTAGGGTTAAGTGACTCACCAGCGGGTCTGTAGGGGTGAGCAATTATGGGAAGCGGTCAAGCGTGAAGTGTTGCAGTGGGTTGCCAGCGGTCGCGCGTGAGCTAAATTGACTTGCAGAATTATTGATGTCTATGACTCATCCCTATATTTTATTGGTTGATGTTATCAGCGCCTGTTGCGCGCACGCACTCAGAGGCACACTGGGGTGACGTGACTTGAATGGATGCTCGTGTCCGTGGTACCACCTTCTCTCGTCTCTGTTCTCGGGCTATTACGGCTTATTAACTAGCAGGGTTTTAAGGTAGTGTTAGCAAACCACCACAATGTTGCGGCGGTTGTGAATCCAAGAGCTTCACCGCAGGTCTAATTTAAAACAAAACACACAATTCCATTCTCATTCTAAAGTGCCTGCGCTCACTTTTCACATTATGCATGCTTCATGCATACTGGGTTGTGGATGTGGTTCGAATAAACCTATTCGAATTAAACCTATTCAGGTATTCAGTTGTCATGCACAGAAAAACCTTTTGGCTTGAAAATATGAAGGAGAATTTGCCTTTTTGGATTCCCTGGTGGACAAGAGCATCTGTGTGCATTTTTCAGCTACACTGAAGATGCTGCTGGTGTTTGTCGCGAGGTTTTGCTGCCCGCATTGCGTTCGTGCGCATCCTGTGCTGATCCCGCCGTGCGTCGGACTGCGAGTAACATCTTCTACACACTAATTGGCTATCTCTCTGATGAAGTCGGTTTCAATTCCGCCGGAAAGTCCAATAAACTTTCGACTGCCTCCTCGAGGCACCATGACCGTCAGCCCTCATGGGCACAAGGTGTTTTCCTATTTGCCCTTTCCGCATTTGTACGGTGCGGACGCTCGTGGGTTAAAATAAATGGCTAACTTGCAGTCACCAAAAGCTTTTGCAAAGTTGTCTAACCAGCTGCAGTATATGTATACGTAAGCCGTGATGTGTCCAGACTACTTCGTTTGTAGTTTTAATTTGTCCTCGGTTATTTGGAACGAAATGGATCAATTAGCCGATGGGCCCAAATATATTTCGGCCCTCAGCCACGTAATGAATATTTTTGGATGGGGAAAGGAACAAAGCGGAATCCCTATATTGTTTACTAGAGGGAAGACTTACGGAGCGTAGCTTCGAATTTTTACTATGGTTATCATCTTATTGCAGTTGTCATTGATTTCGGACTAATTAAATTTATTTGCAATAATCGAGTGACATTGACTTTAAAGCAGCACCAAGTCTGTTGGAGGAATGTTGGCAACTCGCAAGCCAATTGGCAAGGGATGACTACACCTCGATCGGGACTGCAGCATTTACGGATTTTAGCTCTCCGGTCCTAGAGAGTCAGCCAATCGATGAACATTCCGCCGACTGGTCGTGCATCTCCGTCGCTTTAGGGCCACTCTTCTGTTTGTATAGCAAAATGCTCCGACCAAGTCCCTACGTGGCTGAAATGGACCTACGAGATCGCCGAAGCCTCTCAGAGGACGCTAGGATAGCTGATCAGGTATACCTTCAGATGATTCATTAGGGCTTTTGGGTTCCTGCATTGGCGAACCGACTTAACTTGTGTCATTTTTGAGATCTACCGTTTGAGTTTAATACTGTGCCCAGATGCGACACAACCTATGGTGGTGCTTTGATGCAGCTTGAACGCCTTTCTCTTCTCCATCAGTGTATCAGCATTTAGAGTCACTACTCTTATGTCACTTAACTTGTGTTTGCCGCCATTTTCTTTGTTTTTTTTTCATATCGATGTGTTTTTCTCGTTAATGTTGTTCGTATTGCAAACCACATAAAGTATGTTATCTCTTTGATTGGCTTTTTCCATTACGCTATCCACACTCAAGTCACTTGATTTTATGCCAAACCAAATGCCGATAATCACGTCGGCTTTCAAAAGACTAACCAGTAGGTATTTAGACTAAATTTCTCAGATTCGATTTTAGATATTTATGGTGAAGCCCTGTTAATAATAATGGTAATATTCGCTTGACTTGCTGCTCGCGTTTTTAAGTTTTTCTCTTTATTTCAATGCTTGGAGCGGCAGGAATGACTGTCGTCGGTGGTACGGTTACGGTAAAGCCTCTTTCAAGCTGCCATCATAAAATGCATGTCTTATCTCGTTTAAAGGTGCTGGTACTCATCACTCGACTAATGTCTCTAGTCAGCGCGGATAATCAGACTTCTCTGGACCCCTCGGCTGTGCAATTTCTTGTTCAACAGCAGTACTGGGAGACACTTGTTAGCGGCCTTCTGCAAGTTGCCAACCGCTTACTACCCACCTGTTCTGAGGATTTTCGCGATACAAGTAAGAATTAAAACATGATGCTGCAGATTAGTTGTCAAGCGACTTGAAACAGAACATAAATAAGCCAAATTCGTGAATGTAAATGCAGAATATCATGAATTCGTGCAAAATGTCATAACGCTCGTTTTAACACTAACTTTATCGATTGGCTCGAAGTCGTTGCTGTAGACGACTCATCTGTCTTCCATAGGGGCATTAAAACGGAATTAAAATATCTTTACGTGTGTGTAAAATGATGAAAAGTAAGTAGCACAGAATGTGATTCCATGACCACCTTGATAAACACGACCGATCCTTCGTGATAAGTGCCGTCCAAGTCAGCTGTTCAACTTTTTTTAACGAAGTGGTTGGTCTAGCTTGGTTTAGCCTTTTTTGTCTTCTTGCGAGGCTGATTAGTCTTCGTTTCGAGGCGTTCGGCATGGTAAAAGGCTCCTCGTTACTGGCTCAAACTGCCTCTACTTATGCACATTTTTGCATGATAATGGGCAGCCTTTTGCTTCATTTTGCCTGTGACCAGCTCAACGAAATTGTGTTGTGTTGACTGGCTGTTCAGAGGAGTGGCGAAATTAGAGAAGTCTGAATGGTAACATGAATGGAGCGGGTGGTGGTGTGGGGTGACTGACGTGCACACTGTGACAACGCGGACGTGTGAGGCTGCGACGACCGGGTTACTGGACGTGAATCAACACGATTCACTACAGGGCTGCCGGTAGGCGTCGTTAAGGCAATTGTGTAAACAACAACGAAATCCGAACCCGCGATGAGCTGTCTAGGAAAAGTCTGGATCCCCAACACCTTTCGCTCTAAATTTTGCTCCAACAATGGCGGCTACATCTTCTTTTGCTTTCTCAAATAGCCAATCAGAGTATGCGTGCAGTTTTGCGCTTTTTGTGAAATCTCACAGCACGTTTATTTTTTTCCAGAAATTCTGCCTTGGCTGTATCGTCTTACTGAAATTAACAACATGATCCCAGACATGGAGCAGAGAACACGCCTTGGACAGCGGTTGACACTCGTCTTCTCGACAGCTTCCTTCTGTATCCTTTTATCGCCTTGTGAGGCCAATGCCCACTCCCCTCCTTCTAACTAGCCATCAGTCGCTGAAGAAGTATGGCAGGCCGCGTTCTATTTTCTCCTTCATGCCTGGGTGTTCCCAATCGGTTTTCTGTGCAGCCGTCTGTTGCTATGCCAATCTCGACACGAGCTCAAGAATAACCAAGAGTCAAGATCGCACTATTCCATTTCAAGTAACAAAGGTGCACAAAGTGCTGACTGCGACAGCGTCCACAGGCTTTGTTATTTTGTTGAGCCTCATTTGGTCACACTGCAACCGACCATAGTCTTTACGCTCTAGAGTTGCTGTGTTTATTTTACCAATCATGTTTGTCCTCACAGATACCAATAGTCTCGTTTCTGCTAGTATAATGTGTCGAAGGTGGTGCTACTCCAAAGCACTGAGGCTGCCTTTGTATTCCTGAAACGACTTTGTTCCTCGGAGTAGTGTTGCGATTCCGGTTCCGAAGTTGGACTATTCTGGTGTCGTGTTTGGGGATTTGTATTAACAGTGAGATCAGCTAATCACAAAGTTTAGATTGGATCAACTTGTACACCTTAAGCCAACTCGCTGACATTCTATGCATTTGGTAATATTGCTTCACGAATAGTTCATTCTGTGACGAAGAAGTCTCTTAAAAGACAATGTACACAAGTTTTTTGTGTTGGTTCATCTTCGCCAAAACCTAGACTACTTATTTTAAAATTATTTTCATCAATTATATAGTAAAAGACCATGTGAACCTGTTGAGAGGTCTTAATGACTGCAAAAGCATTACACAGAGACGGAATCAAGCGGGACTAAGAACCACTCCAGTTGACAGTCCTAAGGTCACTGAAGTACCCACAGTGGCATTGGAGGCTGCTGATTGCGCGCCCTTTGGTTGCAATTTAAATCAATGTGATCATTCAGATGTACATTGGCACAATTTCGGAAAAAAATAATTTTTGAATGAACTCAGTCAGTGCATTTCAACCTTGCATGCACCGCTGCCAATGACACATTGTCTTATTTATTTCTATGTGGTTGAGTTCCCACGGCTTACTTTTTTGCAGCGTTGTCTTTACATTTCTCTCCATCTTACATTTTGGCTTGTGCCTGTACCCCTTTAAAAGGTTTTTTTTCAGTCAAGGGTCTACCATTTTTCATGATTTCGACAGTTACGGTCGGTTGTATTTCCACACAGCTCTTTGATGGAATTTTTTCCGAGTCCATACAATCAAATCGCCGATAAGAGACCAGACTGGCTAAGTATATGGCATGGATTTTATTTTCTTAATGTTTATACGCCTTAATTCGCACTTTTACGCAGGCCTCGGTACGGAAGCCCCTGTGACCACTTGGATAATGCCAGGTTTGGATCGATTACGTCTAGACTTTGTCGAAGCTGGGGAAAAGATATCGGCAGAGGAGCTGGAACAACTCTCTTCTGATCTTCGCCAGAGGCTTGCTATTCATTCTAGTCCCCCGTAAGACCTTTTACCGTTCGTTTATAAAAGCTATTAGTATGTATGCTATTTAAAATTGCTAAATTTGTATTCTATTTTTTCTGGACCAGACTTGGTCGCCATTGCAAAATCAGTGACGTCTTCCTAGTGCACTTTTTTTGCATCCACATGCGTCACTGAGCAGTTCAGCGCCCTGGAACCCGTTTTAGACTGGAAGTGAATCCCATTATAGAAGAGATGACCACGCTGCCAGACACGACCCCCAAATTATAAAGTGAATGTGACTGGCCCCTATGTGGTCTCAATGCAAGCTTGCGTTCTCATGACCTCTAAGGCGTAATAAAACAGCCCTCATACACAAAGCAGAGATTTTCTAAACATTAAAATCTCTTTTCATTTTGGTTATAATGTTTGCGTTGACAAGTATGCGTCTTAGGAACGAATGCTTTTATTGCTCTCGGGTAACTTTCCATGTCCAAAATTGGAGGTACTGGTTCACCAAATGACAACTGAGTCAGTAGTTGGAATTCATTGTTATTATCGAAATTCCAGACTTGCAATTAGCGGCTTGTTTCTGAGTCTTCCATGACCAGTTTTTTGTTTTTTAAAAGCCGTCTACTTGTGGAGGGTACACAATGTGTGTTTGGGTGCTGACCTAGGTCTGGGGCAACAAAGGTCTGGCTTTTAGCAAGAAACCTTAAAATTATTCGCCCACTAGATGAGCTGTGCATGCAAACTGAATCAGATAGTTGTCTCAAAAGTGTTGATTTATTGAACCTGATTTTTTGTCCTAAAACTTGTCTGTTTTAGTTTTTTTTTCGAAACACAAATACACTTACATGCCAAAAGGTTTTCGGTTACCAGACAGACCAGTGCAGCTTACTAGTCAAAACGAACTGACTTCCGGCAACCCCATTATTTCAAGTACGAATTAACTGGTTGCTGATTACAACTATCTCCTCAAGCTGACATCCTCACTCCTCGGGTTAAGTCGGCGTTGCATGTGGTAGTTAAGCGCGCTGCTTAATGCTAAGCTCAAATTTGCCATGTTATGTACTCGCAGTAAGCAGTAAGTGTCGATGGAATTAAATGCGTTAAATCCAATTGGTGTTACTTTAAACGTCGGGGTGTTTATATATGTCACAACACAGAACACGAATTTAAACTTTTTGGATTGCGGGTTTTGCAAAACTGAAAGATTTTGATTTTGGGTTTGCAGTGAAGTGAGATGGGAATTGTCTACACAAACACGTCAACTTAAACTTGAATCGAATTAAATGAACTAAAGCGTTTTAGTTCTGGGAGGTATCTGTCTGATCGCAGTCATTGTTTTTGCTGGTCTAATTTCCCCTTAAACCTCCTATAAGGCCTTTAAAATTGTTAACTGTAAAGTTGTGCGCATTATGGTAAACTAAATCAGGCTAATTGACGTTCTGGTGTTGCTGAACGACCGCAATCCACAGTTTTGCGATAACCGAATGGAGCGGAATCTTCAAATTGATTTTTTATGCACATGCCTCATGCGCAAGTTAGCTAAAGCTTGGTATTCGGGAATTTGGGACTGCTCAGAGAGTAGAAGCTGGTCATTTCGATAGTTCCGTGTTCGATTTGTGGTGCGGCATGCTCGACTCCATCCAGCTGTACCTCGTAAGTCCCCAACTACTGGATACAATACCTCTGTACAAAACGCAGACAATAATTGCCATTGCACCTCTCATTTATGTTTGGTATTACTCTCTATTTTCTTTAACATAGGCCGACACAGTCAGCATTGGCCGAGCCGACGAAGAAGGGCTTGCGACAGAAATTCACAACCCTACTGACGTCTGTTTCCCAGGTGCAACATTCAGCAACTGATGTTCCAAGTACTCATATCAAGAGGTTTCCTTTTGTTAAGCATTCATGATAGAATCCCCTTTCCTGGCTGTGATTTTCATCATATTTTATTGTTGTTGTTTCTTCCTTTTATGGCTTATTTTGTTTTTTTTTCTTATTCCAATAAATCGCATAACTCAAGTTGTACTATTTTAAAATACTTCCTGGCTTCTTCTCAGTACTATCATGGGTATTGGCTGCAAATAAACACCGATTTCCAATCAATTTAACTGTGATTCTATGAGTTGCTGCATTTTCGGATTTTGATGTAGTTTCAATAATTTATTGTAGATTAGAACTCGCAAGTCTCAAAAAAACATTTTCAAGGCCTCTACATGGTTGTTGTTTATACACTTTTACATTACCAGTTAAAACAAGCAATCGATGGCGCTGCACGTTTCGTCCATTAATATTCCAGTCGTGTTATTATAAAAAACGAACACATAAAGGACGTACACCACAAGGACCACTGTTTACGGGTTCAGTAACCGCATTTTCTTGCCTTCTATCCAATTGACTTTTCCATCGTGGCATCGTTGTTCCTCTTTGAGAGAGGATCGGCTGGCATATTGACTGGAGTAGCTGTACCGTTCGTCTCATTTTGAATAGTATTGGTTGGTTTTGTCGGCGTAAATCAAATTACTTTCTTGTACTAGCAACTGGCCTTACTTTTAAGCGGTGTACGTAGAAATCGTTGTGCAACAATTCTCGGTTTTAATAAAAAATACAAGTGAATTCAGTTAATAATTTACAGTGCTCGTTTAAAAGGGCAGGATATTTAATAACTATTGAGGAGCTGCGATGTTAATGCCTTTTAACTGATCTCTTCGTGGGTGGAACTTTGTTTGACCACACTTTGTGCTAAAGTGGGATCGCCTCAAGGTGGCCTGGTGTTAGTGTTTTAAGAGGTGATTTTACTAAGTTCAGTTCTCAGAATAGTGTAGATAGTACCTTACACTAACTTATAAGGTAGGATGAGCATAAGCTCATTCCGGCGCAAGTGTTTGCTTCAACCATTTGAGTCATTTACATTGATTCTAGGTCATTTTGCTGAATTTGTAAGAGAAAACAGCAGCCCTCGAGCAGTAACTGTGATCCAAATATCGGCTAAACACCACAGACACGGCACTCACATTATTCCTTGATATAAATGTTCTGCACAAATTCACGCAAATTATAGTATCGAAATGAATGCTAATCACGTAAATGTGGCTTGTAGTGTGCTTTTTGAGCCCACACTGCAACTAACCGCTCTACCCCCATTTCATCCTACTAAGACTAAACACACTTTAAATCATCATGAACCTGAGACTACCCAGTTGTTCAATACATGTGCATTTGTCAAAGTTCAGCGCCAACTTTAGACGTTACTAACTTCTGGGGTGCGATAGTTGCAATTTGTCTAATGTCTGTGTCGTGATATCAGAGTGAATTATTCGTGACCACATATTCAAAATAAAAAAAGTTTCTATAAAGCTTGCAAACTCAGTTAAATTTGATAAATTGTGAACGTAAGCAGTGCTTTTAGAAAATGGATTAAGCTTGCTTTCCTATATCATACAAACTTAATAAAAAGGAATTTCTTTCAGATGAAGTTCACTCCTTCTACAATGTTGAACTATGGCTACTGGTTCTTGACAAATTATTTAAATGTCTGCATGACTGGACGTTTAAAACAGGACGGACTATATGAAAGTGACCCTTATTTCTCAAACCATTCAAATTTGAAATTTTTTTTATTCTAGGATTCTATTATTTAAGGTTTTTAGTTTACTCTTTATGAATTCATTTGAAACTGTCTGTTAAAATCAAAGCCACCAAAAATATATTTCACACTTATTCCTTTCATTTTCACGCACATTGTTAAGTCTGGACCTTGCGGAACAGCGCCTTTTCCGGGGGTGCAGTATTTATATTCGGAAGGGCGCTTTAATCGCCGCAGCTCCCTTTTCGTAGTGATCACAAATGTTGAATTGCTGTAAAGTTTGGATTGGCGTGAAAAGCATGGAGTAAATTTAAATCGTTTTTATTTGCCTAAATTTGACCCGGTTTCTCAAAACTTGTCATAAATATGGTAATTGTTAGATAACAGTCATCAATTGCTCCATTTCTGTCCTTCCCAACGTAGTTAACCGGGCGACCACCCCGTTCATGTGAAGTGCATTCAAGATTGTGAACACATACTTTTATCAGACATGAGCAAACATGACTTCAGTCGAAAATCTCTAATCCACTTTACTCTCATTTATAGACTGAATTTCTGGCGGTTCGACTTAACCCGGATCCTTGTTAGTATCACAATACACAATTAATCCTCCTCCAACTCTCGTCTTTAATTCACCCCTAGCTCCTTAGTGCTAGATCGGGCATTAAAACATTGATATTTCATTTGGCCCGGTGTGGGTACAACACTGAAGTCGGGGCGCTACAGCAGATTCAAACAAATTAGGACATCATGGAGAATTGTATCATAGCCTATGGTATGAACGGCTGGCGAGAGCACATTGCTCTTCCTGATAAAAATACAAATGAGTCGAGATAAGAAAGACCATTTGATTGACCACTGCACATCACATAGGGGCTTCAGAAGCGACAATTAAGTTGATTTAGGTACACTGAGCAAACTGATCAGTAGCATGTACTGATCAGTCCAGTACGATTTTGGTGTTTATTGCTAGTATTTATTTAATATTAGATATGTTTTTGTGGACTGGGTTCGAGTTATGTAAATTTGAACTCATTCATTAATTCAACTGACTATCCAGTCACTAAAAAGTTAAACTGACGTGTTATTAGTAACAGTTTTACCATGCCAAATTCTTGTCAGCCATCAAAAATTGTGCACGTTATTAAGACACAGAGGCAGCTAAAGGCAATTTACTTTTTGAATACTTTGAATGGCAAGATTATTATATTTACAAAAATAATTTAATTAAACCGTTTTAAAAATTAGAAGTGATTTCAGCCATCTTGAAGTGATATTTTTTTACTTATCGAGGTAGAAAAACGGCAATGTGTTTGTAAATTATGCTGACGAGATGTGTTGTAGAATTGCTTTAATTAAGTAGTCAAAAGCGGCATCATTAAGTTAGCTTACTGATTCATTTCGACAATTGGGCATTGAGAATTCTTTGTGGGGGTGTAACCGTGTGTCCCTGCAATTTTGATGCTGAGCTGGTTAAAAAGAGTAAGCAGCCTCTAGGTATTCCCAAAGACAGTTTTTATGAGATATGCGCACCTGATTAAATTTGAGCGATTTTCAAACAACTTTAGCATCTTCTGCGTTCTACCTCAATTTTTAACTTCCCATTTCGTTGCTTCAAATATGCTGGTGAATTCAGCTGAAACTGAAAACGATGTAAACTGTTTTTATCACGGTAGCTTTGTGCATATTAACATGAGTTAAACCGTTTATTCGACCATTTTTTTGATTTAAATATTGTAAAATTCTTTGAATGCTTCAAAAGTAATCGTTTATTTTCTAAAATTTCTGAGTTTCATGGAAAGAAGCAATGCTTTGCAATGGCAAATGAATGCACATGTAGATTAGTTTAGATAAATAGGATTTAATTAACCAAATCACTTAGATTTCGTTACAGGATGTTTCAAATTTGCATTATAATTATCTATTTCTACTGAAGAGCCGCTAAGGGCATCCCTGGCACTCTGTCAAAAATGTGTACGTCTCTGGAATTCTCTGCGACTCGGAGTACCGTTTAAATTGATAAAAAGCCAACAGTGCTATCACTTACTAGCATTAAAGATAATTTTCGCAAGATTTTCTATAAACATATAAAGTATTCTCATGGACCACTGATTTATAATGCTGTCCTTAAACAAATAGGATACTTTCGGTAAGTTAGAAGTAATAAATTAAACCAAAAAATTAGTGCAACGTTAAACCAATTCGTTTGACGTGGAAGTGTAGTCGGAAGCCCGTTTGCGTTCACATTGCTTCATCATCTCGAAGCATTTCCAGCAGTACATTAGCTTAATTAAAATGCATACTATCTAATTTTTTCCCTGAATTTGCCCAGTTCACTGGTCCAGACTACTAAACCTAGCACAATGAAAGTCCCTGGAAATTATTTGATGCGTCGTTATGGGGGCAGGTATTCTAAACTTAGCACCCGGAATGCTGTTTTAATTATGTTCGCTAATCCCATTGGCTGAATCGACTCTCTGCCTGCACCATAAATACACTTGAGCAATGTGGGCAGTACCGTTTGTTGTGACGACATGAAGCTCTTGAAAGTGTCCACTCTTCTCCTCATCGTTCTTGTTGCCTGTCTTATTAGTGAGATTTACTCGGTGTCGGTTAAATCGTCGTGGCATCAACACCATGGAGAAGAGGAAGAAGAAGAGGGAGACGAAGGTTACGATGATGACTGCCGATTAATTAGAAAGCTCGGCCATCGCCGATGTAAGCACACTTATAAAACATCTGCATATTGAGTTTCTTTTCGAGTAATGTCGAAATGTGTGTGTAAAAATTTTGGTCTTAAGAGTGATTTCCTAATAGTAAACAATCAATTCGGATTGCTTGGTAGCTCTAGACACGCTATGTTTCGTACTCATAAAACCATATTTTCCTGATTATAGGAATAAAATGTTCTACAAAAACCTGCCTGGCTGGGATAATTTGTATGTTAAAATAAGTGTTGCAGTACTGCTGTACTCTAAAATATGATCTATACTGTGATGCAGTCCATTTTCCAAATCACGCAATAAGCACTTTTTGAAATCACAATATGCAAGGCAGAGATTATAGTAAGACTTCGGTTAATCCTTTGTTTAAATGCATGTTTTACTGAAGGAAAGTCTGCATAAGACCATTTTGCCCTTGAAACCCGATTTCAGAAATAGTGGCTAAAATTACTAAAACTCCTTGCTTTTAGTGGATTTCGCGGCTTAGTCCGAAAACCACAGATAAAAAGAAAAACATAGGTACCTTGTTAACTGTACTGCCTAACCACACAAGTCTAACATTCCCAAATGAAGAACACGAATAGGACAATGTCGAGGACTCAAAGTGGTCAGAAAATTCCACTATATTTGCATAAAATGTCTTTACTTCAAAAGTTTAACAGGAATACTATTTAGTTTCAATGTAACGAATATCAAGAACGGTTTGATTATTTGAGGTTACAGGTTGAGTCCAAGTCATTTTTATTTCTATCACTTTCCCATAAATTAATATTAGCATAAGAGGCAATACCTTGTGAGGTTGACTCATAAATATGCCGCGTTACTTCAATCGTAGAGACCCTAGGAAAGCCCAATGTATTGAAATTAAGTATCTCAAAATTAGAAGGAATTCTCCGAACGTGATTTACTGTTTTCGAAATTAATTTTGACTGCTTATGAAATTCATTTGCATAATTATTACTTTTGTGGTTCTTTATTTATAATGTGGGGATTATTTATTTCACTCAAAATTTCGGACTATGCTGCACATATTTAAGAGAGTCTTTACCTTCGTACAATGGCCTTGTTAAAAACCATTTCAAACTTAACTCTGGATATGCCAAAAAGGTGAAGGCCTATGAGACAGTTGGAGCAACTTTTGGACGACAATTACCAAAAATATTTAGAGATTTTCGAATAAAATGGAAGAGGTTTCCCAGCTGAGGTTTTATCCTCTAAAAGACACACTTATAATTTAACTTATGGTTGGGTTTACTGCACACTTTAAAAAAACTAAAGTGTCCAAAATGTTTGGTTAATGAAATAAAATGACATTCCTTAATTCTGATACGTTGGTTTGAGTGTGAATTAACCAATGGATCCACCAAAGTGGAGATTTTGCATTGGTTAAACACAAAAGGCTACATGCGTCGTGGATCCAACCAGGAGAATTGTTTTCTGAGACTTAAGGAACTAATTTTTAGGCTGTTAATCTGCTTAATGCATGTCGTAAATTAACACTTTTGAGAATGCCGCAATTGTGAAAATTTTCTGAATGTTCGCCGCAACCGGATGAAAAACGCTAGCAAACTCACCTTTTTGCAACGAGCTTAGCTCTTAGCTCTATGGCTTAGCAAACACCCATTACATCGCCTTATGCACTGAAATGTCACATTGATGGAATGGACAATTTCGATCAATTTTTCTGCAAATATCTTTGGCTTAGCATAGAATATTTTATTTTATGTGCCCAAAAACAACTTGATTCACTGAATGCTATTAAGAAAGGACACAAGTTTGGTTGTTTTAGCCAAGATGACATATTGCATTACCACTTATAAAGGCAAAAATAGAAAAACGCTTAGATTTCTGTATCCTCTTATTTGTGGACAACACAGAAAATTCAGTCTTGAAGGTTTTCATTTGCTTAATTTGATGCGAGTGCACGTTTTCAGTGCGTTTCATGTTATGGATCAAGATTAAGCTGCAAACTAAACAATAATGTCTTTTGATAGTTTCTTAGTAAGATTATGAATAAATTAGAAGTGGATTTAAACATTTATTCAATTTTTCTACAAAATCATTTCTGGCTGACAACGTTTGCAGTCAAAAATGAAAATTCTAGGTGACATTTTTATTTGACAGATCTGACACACTGGCAGTTAAAGCAGCAATCAAATTTCGAAAAGTGGAGTAGAATAAGTTACAAAATTTTATATGTAACCTTTAAGGATCCTTCTCTCAAACTTCAAACTCTACTAGAGTTCGAATGTTCTTGTGTAGGTTTCGAGGTTCTGAGAATCCTACATTAGACTAAGGAAAGTGTGAGCCTTAGATTACTCGATTTAACGCGTCCAAAAGCTATTGGTCCTAGCTGCCAAATAATGTAATGGTTACTTCGAAAAACGAACTATAAAATCAGCGCAGAAAAGACATTCCGCGTTCACGATTTCCTTTAAAGCTAATTAATGACTTCTGTTTCGTTCTAATCCTAACAAATTATTTCCTTCATAGCTAATCCTCTCGACTTTTGACAGCCAACAACACGGGTAGAATTTTACTAATTTAGCTTAGTTCACCATTTCAATTTTATATTATGAATTATTAGTTGCTTACTAGATTTAATGGCTGCAAAGGTAGTTGATTCAGTTGGCTTCAAGAGAGTATTTTGCTCCTACGACTTTATTTTCTGCAGTACAGATATTTATGTTTAGATTACAAAATTGGGTTGATCTCTGGTGTGTATGTTGACCACTAGGAAGAGTAATGTGGATTCTGTCAATAGTATCTTTATCCTCTTCAACCATTGCAAAAATAATTTGACCAGGCGTTATTGCACGTTTAACTCCAAAGCAGTCGAGTTGCTAATTGAAAACAATGTAGAAATAGAGTTTTCCGACACGTAACTTCAACTGGTAGCATCCCAAATAAAAAACACCATTTTTTAAAATAGCGTTTTTGGGTTTAAAATGATAGAAATTGGAGTGATTGCAAGTCAAGCTGTTTATTTTATCGAATACGTGAATACACTTTGCTTTTAACTTACAGATCTCACTAAAAGACAACTTCGTAACCTAGCCGGGTAAAATGAAGGTAAGTTTATTTTAATTGGAAGTTGAAAAATTAGAGCAAACTATACCACACTCAAACTTGTTATATGACAGTGTAGAGGGCAACGGTATACATTAGCAGATGAAAGGAAAATCTCAGTTACCTGATTACTCTTTGACGGGATTCGGACCCATAAAATGTCAGAGTATGACAACCTGTGCTCATTTTGCGACTGTCATTAACCCTAACTCCCAGTCCAATGGTGTACTGGGACATGGTTAATATAAAACGAAACTTTACTATCCATGTTTGTCGAAATACTTTCTCGTCAACCGTACAGTCTTCTCAGACATCAAAGTCGTAAATCGTGTGTAGCATTATTTCCATCTGACTCTGGCCCAGAGCCTGGCAGGTCTAAACGAAATTCTCTTCCTTCAAACCTTGGAGAATCTTCGTAAATGACCTTGGCTATCCGTACATTTTTGCTAAAATTTTTTGTTCTGTTGACTTCAAGGCAATATCAATTGACCATTCTTATGCACTTTAAATAAATCGATAACAATAGCACATCTACACTTTTTCTTGCTGTTCTTATGTTAATCGATGTGACTTATCTTTTTAGGGGAACTCAAGTGCGAAGTCAGTTAATCATTTGCTTTAAAACAAAGACTTCTTTCGTCGAGCACTGTTAATTTCACCGTAGGTGTATTGTTGTAACATCCTATATAACTACGGTTTACACAATAAAGCATCACTACTTGCTAACCAAAATTTTTAACACTTAAAGAAAAAGCAAATCAGGCGGCGCGTATGGGTCGAAGTTTTACGTACAGATTTACTATGAGTTGATACACCCTTATCTTGGATTGATCTCCGTTCACATGTGTCTCATATACATTCTCACGCACACACGCTACCACACGCGTTTGTGTAATCTGCAGGTGAATTGACGCCTGTAGCTGTCATCCGTAGTCTTCTTTGCGTCCTTGAGCAAGACGGTTGGGAAAATGGGTGGGCTGTAAGGTAACACAACGCCAGAAATCTACCGAAATACAACCTGAAACAAACGTAATTTAAGTCAGTGTTTTCTCTTTCTAAAGGCCCTTTCAATATGGGCATTTCGTTTCCTTGTTTTTTTTGAATCGCCCAAGCATACTGCGCTACTTAAAAAGTATAGTAGGGCAGAATATGCCTGAAAGACCAGATGGTCTAAAATAACACACATTTCGTACATTCAAAAGCAAACTATGCCTCACAAATCTTTTTTTTTTCAAATTTTCGAACAGTTGTTTAACTTCCCTGGTTTAAGATATTGGAAGGCTGCAGATGACTTTCGTTAAGTTGATTTAATATACTTCATCTTACCAGGTCTAGTCGTCGAGAGTTGTCATATTGCTGCCTTACTACTTCACATTTGCCGCTTTGTTCTGACAACGTGTTTTGTCATCAGTGGACGACCTTTACGTCTTATCCATAGCTTCAATAAATCTGTTGTTTGGAAAGTCAGATATCTTTAGTGCGACTTTCAAATTCTTAAATATTTTATTTGTTGTGTGTCTACGTTCGTCAATCTTCACATCCACATTGACCACCCCCATTTTATTGGATTTTCCCCTCTGAATGTGCTATCGATCTTAATTGTGGTCAAGGTCGCTAGGGCTATTAAAATCTGGAGGTCTGTGGCCTCACCTAAGTCTCATAGCTGAAACAGTAACAGCTCTCCGTATCTAAGTTTTTATTTTTGCCTTTGCATTACGAAAATGAGGGCGGCATTAGTAAGGCATTGCATCAGTTCTCAGGTCGTATGTAGATCTGGTTAAGCGTCAAAGTAACAATTGGCGGCAGGTAGTTTGTGTGCGCATTTTTGGTTACATCCTCTCAGACAAAAACTCGCACACAAACATGGATCAGCTCTTGACAATGCGCACCTTTGTGATGACAACCCTCTGCTACCAGCAACTGAATTTCCTATCCTTCGTAACCTCTTCTTAATCCTTGGTCCTACCATGTATCTTGTACTTCTAACGGACTCTACAAGCCTACATTCTTGGTATATTTAACTTGCAATCATAATATTCGTTTTGAATTGTAAAATAATTAAAAATCAGTAAGTATTCATCTTTATTACATATGCATTAGTGTAATGTGAAAAGTTTCTCATTTTCAATAAAAGTACGTCAAACAATATAAAATGACCGAAAGGACGTAATTAAATTATAAAAAAATGTTTGATGCTAAAAGTTTCACATGAAGATTTGCAATGCTTTTTTTGGAAACCACAAGGTCACATAAAAAAACCACCTATGGGCAAGAAAGTGTTCTTACCTGAACTACACGATCGTAATCCCTCAAATTACAGCGTTGTCGGTTTAATATAGGTGAATGGTCATGTGATTTTAGGCGCAAATCAGCTGCCTATGTCTCAAAAATGCGTAAATTGTGTTCAACCCAAGCTTT